AAATAAAAATGTAAAAGTATTTCATCCATTGTTTCCCCTAGCTATCATTCTCACTTAATGTTAATCTCTCTCTCTTATGGATGTGTGTGTCGTGTGACATATATTTAATATTTTTATATTTTTATTTTTCCATGAAATTGATTGCTATACATATCTATGTGCTTATGTGTTCGCATTCCTTTGTTATCAAATTATAGTAAATAATATTTTTATTCATTAATATTTATTGAAATTGATGAAATTGCGCATTTGTTAAGCACTAACTATATTATTTAAAAATTAAAATTTTATTTTTATGGATGTGTTTTATGGATATTTTAATATTATATTATAGGTAGATAATCGCTAGTCCGATATTTATAATCATTTGAAAATCATTTCGTCATGGTCAAGTATTGTGTAGAATGGGAAACTCGACCAGAATTCAAAGGTAAATTGCATAAATAATAAAATTATGTTGTAAAATGTAAATTGTTATGGTAACTAATTAATTTTTTTTTTTTCAAATTTAGGGTGGTTAAAAAAAGCAACAGAAGAAGACTCTCGCAAAAACGATTTGAAAGAAGCTTATTGTACTTTGTGCAAAATTGTATTACAAGCCCATCGCGGTGTTTTAACAAATCATTCAAAATCATTATACCATGTAAACAAGAAAAAAAGTTTTATTCTTGAAGAACAATCGAAATTGCCTTCTGACGGTAATATATTTTAATTATAATAGGTATTTGTTAATTATTTTATAGTATTCTAATATTGTTTATGCAAATAGCTGTACAATATTACAAATAAATAACCTGAGTATTTCATTAGTATTGAAAAGTGCATCTTTAGTTTTTTTCCTTATTTAACAAAAAATTGTGTTACAATGTTAGCATATAATTTTATTATTGTATAATACTAACAAATCAATACTCATTCATTCATAAAGAAGTACTTACAATATATTTTTTTTATTTTTCTAAACAGTAGTGACTGAGGAAATGGACATTCAAAAGATAGATCCGAACATTCCAAAAGTATCAGAGACCATTCACAATTCCATTCCTGGGTAAGTCATAGGTAAAAAGTAAAAAAGTATTAAACTTTATAACAAATTGAATTAAAGTCCTAAAATATTATTTACTATAATTAGTTCATTATTTATACAAATTTATTATGTAATTTAAATAAAACTATCTAATTTACTTAAAATAAATAATTTAAATTACTTAAATTAATAATTTTATCAATACATTTGATACCTATTAAACTATTAAATAGGTAATCATAGCTAATAGATTTATAGGTATAATAACATAATTTATAATAATTAAAAAACACATGTATAGGCACCAAACAAAGTTTAAACTTACCTAAATGTAAAAAAATAAACATATTTAGTTTATGATCCTTAATAAAATAACTAATGAATTAATTAATTACATTCTAAAGAGATAACTTATTATTTATTTTTTTAGTTATATGCTTCATATAGATAACTCATGCTAAAAATCATTACATATTATTTAATCACAATAGGTAGTACTGTAATGTGATTAGGAGTCAAATGCATACCTATTATAGAAAACTAAAATTAGTACATCTAGCAGCAATAATAATAATGCCAAACAACTGTAGGCAGGTGTCTATTATAATGTAGGTACTAATTATTTAGTTAAAATATTTGACTGTAATTAGAAGAAATAATAAAATACATATTAAAGGTTAAAATATTTAATTGGTTATAATTACACAGTCTTATGTTTTATCACTCTTTTTAGTTTAAATTTATCAAAATTAATATCTATTAAACAAAACACAATTATTAACATAACACAATTTAAGTTTCATAAAAAAGTTTAAAATCTTATTATAACAATAAATATTATTGAATAAATAGTAGGTATATGTAAAAAAATGTTAAAGTATTAAATAATAAAATACTAATTACATTGGTGTACTGGTTACATTTTTTTTGGCAGGAGTTACAAATAAATAAAATTGATTCCCCTGATCCTTCATCACTGCATTAATTTTTATCTGAACATTTTATATGGTAAATGTATGAACAAAACTTACAAGTCAAACCATTTTGAATATCATTTAAACTATATCTACATCCAAAACACAGTCTTGTATTTTTTATAAATAATAGAAGAACTATACTCGTTACTACATTCATTTGCGTTTGGAGTCAAAACATCAGGAAATTGTTTCAAAAGTCCACTAGTGTCAGTTAGTTTTTTTTTTTTTTGAAGCCAATGGTTTAAAATTATTTCTGACTACATATCGTTTTGTTGAAATATTTTTAGTTCTTCAGTTTTTTCTTGTTTTATTTTTTTTTCCATAATGTTTCTTTTTGGTTTTTTTTTTTTTTTTTTTTTTTTTTGTTTCATACATGCTTTACCACTTTTCAGAAGAAATAACAAATGGAACTCTCTCAGTATTTCACTTATCCTTACGTTCAGGAGTTATTGGCCATATTAAATAAATATCAAGTGGAGACACCTGAAATAGTTTATTTTTTAACACATGTGATTATTTTTCCTTCGGATCCTTGTAATACATTTTTATCAGTTGTAATTGAAGTATCAATATTATTATTTTCAGGTGTAATAACTGCAGTAGTACTCTGTTCAACATAAATATAATTTTGATCTACACAACAAATATTACTATCCTGAAAGTTGTCTTCTAGAATTATACTATCAATTATAATATCATCTTGATGTTGAATACACATTTCACCTTCATTATTCGACTTTTCATTTAATAAATTGTAAACATTTAATAATGCTTGCAATTCTTTAGATATAGGTGTAATTTCTACAAAATGGTTAACAGTAATACATTTCGGTACAATTGCTAGACCAACAATATCACAAAATTGATCAAAGTTCAAATTATTTTCAGTCAAACAATGCTCATCAACTGCAGCTACTAGATTTGTGCCAAGACATTTATCAAAATTAATATTATTTGGATTCCATAGATATAAAACGCAACCTCTTATTTCATTTTTAATAATGTCTGGTGTTATGATTTCTTCTATTATTTTTTGTAAAATTTGAGCAAAATCTACTTTGGTTATAGGAGCAGCCATTGAACAATTTTGTTCTAACCTCCCCTCAAATACTGCTCTTTTCCAACCTTCTTTGAGTGACCGAAAATCAGTTATGTTGGCTGGTTGTTATTAGAATATTTTCGAGTCGAATTAGGGTATAGAACAATCACAATTATTTTAAGTCAGAACAAAGTGTACTGGGTTGATATGTTAGATGAAGTACATGTAGTTTTATGTTATTTTCAAATAAAAAAGGATGACAAATATTTGTAATAAACTCATAAAACGTTTCAGGTTTCATCCAATCACTATCAGACAGACCAATTCCCCAGTTAGTCGGCACTAAGCTCAAAATATTTTGAGGAATTCTTTTGTAATTGTACACAACCATCGGGTGACAACACATTACTCCAGCTGCACTACATACAAATTTTCTTTCGCATTTCCGACATTGACTTCATTCTTCAAGACTTCTTCAGACTTCAGACTGACCCTTGGGAGCTAAAACTGCTTTTGTTTTAGGACACAAGGAAAACCCAGTTTCATCACTATTAAAAATTCTTTTAAGATCACACAATATATCAAACAAGTCTTTTTATTTTAAATACTGTTGAATACCATCAAACCATTTTCTTATATCCTGTTCACTTATACAGGCACTTGCAGCTGCCACATGCTCACTTGTTCTGAAAGATATATTTAGATGACGCCTCATAAACGATTTTTCCTATCCAATACCCATAGATAGACTATTAAATGGTTATAATAATATAAACAATTATTTAACATAACAAAATTATCAAGGCAGTTATTTTTAAAAATATTAGTTTGCTCATTTTTGTCAAGATATTGTTTTACACTAACTAAAAGATTATCTTTTCTTCGAGGAAATCCTTTTCTTCTTCTTTCCAGTATTCATCTTTCTAATACATTTTCTTCTACCTCAGATAATACTGGAGCTGGTCCACGTGTTATTTTTTCGGTGAGGATTTTTAAGTCCGTGTTGTAAAGTTGATCTCGATACAAAAAACGTTTTTGATATGCCTTCATCGAGTACTGCTTCCAACAGCAGCAATCAAATTGGAATGAGAAAAATATTATCTTTTTTTTCGGCATTTCTATAAATGAAAATATTAAATCATTGATTTGAATTAATACATTTTATGTCCAATTCAATAGTTGGTACCCCATGCCAATAACGACAATTTAAAATATATACATATCTAAAAGATGAATTGATAAAAAAATGTTTTAAGAGCTTATTTACTAAGTATAGTCTACTAATAAAAACTGTCTATTCTTACCAAATATTCCGAAATTTTTTGAGACGACTGAAAACTTTAATAATAACTAAATTAATGATAAATTATTATTATAAGGAACACTTGATAACACAGCATGATTAGTTTATCCAGATTTATAAAAAAAACAATTATTTAAGGATCAAAATGGACACTAATTACAAATAAAATACTTTCGTAGTGCCAATAACTATACCAGTACTAACAGACGTTACCGATTTGGATTCGATACATATATAGCTATATAAGATGATCTTTATAAAAATAAATATGGGTGGAGTGGATTTGTTAGACGTACTTTTTGGAAGACACAAAATAAAAATGCGAAGTAGGAAATGGTATTTAAGATTATTTAACCATTTACTCAATGTGACTATTGTCAACTCGTGGCTTCTCCGTTGACGAATTAATGAACACAAAGATAGTACAAATAATAATTCATCGTTGATCCCCTTCAGAACGGATCTTCCACCATCTGTGTGCAAAACTGAAAAACCTACAAAATCAAAAAGAAAAAAACCAATGAGTAAACGGGCTTCGAAAAAAATCATACAATATGATGGCATCCATCATTGGCCTGAGACAATGGAAAAAAAAGGAAAGTGTAAAGTACGTGGATGCAATACTTACACATGGATTAAGTGCTCCAAGTGTCAAGTTAGCCTTTGTTGTGAAAAAAATCGAATTTGCTTTAAAAATTACCATGTAAAGGTAATACTATTTGTCTAAGAATTGTACATTATTTATGATATACAGTATATGACTAATTTTTATTTTTTATAATTTCTATGTTACAGTGAAAATGAAAAGGAAAGAACAGTTTTCATTTAATTCAGAATTTCATTTTAAAATAATAATTATAAATTGAGGGGCTAGGTGCAAGAAAGGCATTTTCACGGAAATGCCCATTTTGCTTAAAATGTTTGTTTGAACTCGGTAACCTCTATACTATATGTGTATACAATTTTAGTTTGAAATTTTAATAATAGAGCTCTGTAGAAGCGTTTATGTCAATGTGTGTAAATGCCTCTTTTGCATAGAACCACATACACATGCACGTTATGTTTATAAATATTATCGTTTTATTTTTCAATGATTTCAAAATAATATTATGATAGATAATCTTGTTATTTTTCGTTGTAGATTAATAGGTTTAGTAAAAACCGTTTCTAAATAAAACTAAGCATTAAGGAATTAAGATAATATTTAACATTTATTTATTTAGTTTATTATTTATATTATTCACCAAAAGTTATGAATAAATTAATAAAATTCAAGTTATTTAATCATTTGAATTGAAATAGAAGAGGTAATTACTGTTTAATGCAAAAATGGCATTTTCATGACCAAATATCCTTTCTGTTTAAAACTTAGCGGACACAAAGAAAAACAAAACAAAAACATAATTGTTTTCTTAAGATTCGATCTTTCATATGACACACATTTTATAACCATGTGAGCAGATCCAAAAGAGTACTACATATTTGAAACTTTAATTTCGTTTATCTTAAAATACATTTTTCGAGAAAATGTCCTTCTTGCACCCAGCCCCTCAATTATATCCATATATTTGATTAATAAAACACATTACATTTTTATATAATAACATTTTTATAATTATACTTAAATGCATAATGTTGACTGTAGTTAACACTACTCAAGTAGTCAATTTTGTAAAAGGAAAATACAATTTTTTCTTTTTAGTATTTTTTCTGTACTAACTGTGAATAATTTGAAAATAAAAAAATGTATTTCATAAAAAAAAAATCATTCATTGTAGGGTTAAAATGTAATAGTTGTTAAAAGACGATATAAATATTTATGTTGTACATTTATATATTATATTAAAGTAAATGTAGATAAGTAGGTACCACTCATGTAGTCGTTAATTTTTTTTTTTCATTATTTCTAGTATGACTATGTTGTCTCATGCGCATTTTTATATACATAACAAATATTTAATTTTTTGATGACCACTGGAAATAATAAATACAAGTTTTCTTTTTGAAAAAATTCTTCAAATGTGTCGGTAAACGTGTCTGATTTTTTTGAATATTTCATAAAACACAATTCTAATGCTTTTAAAATTTTAAATAAATTGTTTTGGGGATGAACTAAAAATTGACAGACTTTGAATACACAATTTACATTTACTTACATTTACATTTAATCGCCATCCTACATGCAGCTACCAATGTGTTTACTTTGTAACAAAGCGTTTTGTAATGTGGCAATGAAACCATCTCGTTTGTAGGAACATTATTAAAAAGTTCATTCTGACAAACACAATAAAGATTTATCGTTTTTCACAAATATTAGGGACAAGTTTCTGAAGGCACAATCGGTCTCGGACTTATTCGCAGGCCCATCAAAACAATTCGATGATGGTTTAATTGCTTTTTACAATGTATCGAAATTGATCGTGAAATCAGGAAAATCTAATACCATAGGTGAAGAGTTAATACTTTCAGCTCTCAAAGAAATTTTAGAAACGGTTTTTCATCATACTGCTTCACACAGTGTAATCACAAAAGTCCCATTAAGCAACGGTACTGTATGATGACGAATCGACGAAGTGGCGGAAAACGTTGAAAATTTATTATGTGAACTCTTATTATCCGGGGGCGTTTAAAAATAGATTGCTACTCTAGGGGCGGTAACCTAAAAAAAGGTTGAGAATCACTGGTTTAAAGCGTCCAAAGCTTCGTGTAAGCGCAGTTCTAATTAAGTCTGAGTTCCTCGACATTATACGTACATTAACAGTATTATTTGATTGTTTTGAATAAGATATAATAATTTATTATTATTATTATTATTATTATAATTATTATTATTAAGGCTTCAACGTGAAGTCATTAGCCGACGAGGAACAATTTACCTTTTTTATTATACAAATAGTCAGTTCATTAGTTTTAGCAATAGTAATAATAATAATAATATGAAAAATATGGAAACTGAAATAGATACTTTAATTAACGAAATAGAAAAAAGGCCTGTCATATGGGACATGACAACGCATGAATACTCAAACCGTACCATAAAGAGAAGTTGGGAAGAGTTGATGCTTGTCTTTGGTGGTCCTGAGTATTCAGAAGAGAAAAAGAAAAATTTAGGTAATTAATCTTTTAATTTATATTTATAGTATAATACGTAGATTATTTATATAACCCTGAGTCACTATCTTTACCATAACTTCCAATGTCGACCCATATAAAACCATAGTTTGAATCACACAAAGCCATCAAAACGAGAGAGAAAAAATTGTTATAATTGTAATAAATTGAACCGTGGTGAACCGAATGGTGGTTGAGTAATTCGTATATGCTTCTCATCTATCAGTCATATTTTTAATAATCAATAGTAATTTTACATATTTTTTACAAGACTTGGCAATAACGAGTTGAAAGTTAAAATAATTTTTTTAATAAAGGTAATTATTTATATAAATAAATGAAAAGCTATAAATTTATATAAAAAATATTGTTTTTTTTTTTTAAATTAACGTTTTTTTATCAATAGTAATCAATCAGCCTCACCTATTGCTCCAATACAGTTTGGGAATTTTGCACGTTTTTCAAATCCTGTTGAAATTTCTACCCATTTCTGTTTATTAGGTTCACTAATTATAGTATTTTTTAATTTAATTCATATGATTTGGCATACTTGGCGTATTATACCACTCAAAGTAGATATTCCAATTTCGTAATTATATTGTAAATTGGTTATCGAGCAACCTGTTGACAAATATCGGAAATATAAAATAAAAAAATAATTTATGATTATTTTTTATATATAGACTATATAGACTACTTTTTTCCGTGTATTTTCATAACTTTGACTAAATATTATATGAGATATTTTGATACTTTTTAATGCATAGAAATGCATGGGCACAGTTTACATGAGTCATGATATGTTTACCTGTACTTTGGGCGCAGTATACAATCTGATTTTTTGTTTTAGGATTAGAATTACAAAAGAGATGGAAGGGTATTCAAAATGCATATGTAAAGGAATTAAAAAAAATAAAATAAGTCAAGTCTGGATTGGGAGCAGTGAAGTTGTCATATTTATATTATAGAAGGTTGCAATTTCTACAGCCAACAATAAAAAGAAATTCTACTGAGAATAGTTTTGAAACTGCGGATGTTGGCGGTGATGACAATTTAGAATCATCGATTGAAAACCCAATTGAGGAAGATAGTTCAAGAGCTCAAAACGAGAAAGGTACTTTTAAAAGTCCTTTTCAGCAACGAAAAAAAATAAAACTTTCTTCTGATGAGCACTTTACAAACATTATAGAAAAAAGTTTAAATCATAGAATACTCTAGAAAAAAAAGAAGATGACAAAGATAAATTATTTTTTTCTTTATATAAAGAAATTAAAAAAGTACCAGAAGTAATGCGTTTAAAAACTAAAATCGAAATTTATAACCTACTTTTGAGAAATCAATCAATCAATCAATCAATACTCACCCTCACCTTCAAGTACAGATATCTCTTAATCCAATCACGTATCCACATCGTACAGCTAACAAAATACGCAACTATTTGCATGCCCACAATATGATCGTTCAAATTATACAAATATTCCATACGATACGCTTAGTCATAATTAAATTTACACTCGATTTAACCAAAATATGCAACCTCTAGAAACTCATCTACAACGATCTTTATCTACTAATAGTCAGATTTCTCAAAAGTCGCCAGTCCTTGATTTATTTTGATAAAAAAAAATTTAACTAATATATGAGGTGTACCTTTTGTACTGTTTTTTAATGTATTTAAAGTCTAAAGATTGATTTTTTTATTTTTTTTAAATATTAAAAATAATTTTGTTGATAATTTATAAAGTAGTTCAACAAATATTTTTCAGTAAATAAAATACTTTTATTATATAAAACTACAATTTAGACAGACTTATCTTAATGTAACGATAAGTTTTTCTTTTTGTGAAATGCAATATCTTATTGCATTTTCATCAGCTTCTAAGGAGTCTTTAATTATCTCCAATAGGTCATCGAATGATTTAATGGACATTCCAAAGTAATTGAAAAATTTGTCATCGTGTTCTCTAAATTTAGGATATAACGTGACATAAAGACTAAGATTTGGGGGTTGCCCCCGCCGGTCCCAGACTAACGTTGCGCGCCAACTCAACTATCCGCCGCACCAAAAACCTTCCCGCAGGCGATCACCCACATCCGTTTCTGGATCATTAATCGCCCGTGGCCGGCGTCATGTGCTTTCAAGTAGGAAAGATTTAATTCGATCTAAGATGCTGGTACTCTTCTAGAGATCCAGCCGTCTTACTGTCATTTAGCTGGCTTACGCAAACTGGTTGGCTGTGCTGTGTCATATTTGGTGTCGGGGACAAAGCATTCCCTTAACCTATCTACGATACTTTGCACTTACTCGTGCCGCTCCCGTTATGAGAGTATAGCCCGCGCGAATCTCTCGAGAGTTACGGGTGACCGGGAAGATGCCACCAGGTCGGCAGCATTCCACGGCCCCCGGATCCCCGAGGCGCACAGGTCCTCAGTTAGCTGCAATCGTGGTTCAGTGTGCAACGGACAGGGCAAAAGAACATGCCACGAGTCCTCCGTGAGGGATCCGTTGCAGTCCCACACCACGACGCCACTTATGCTGAATCGATGCAAGTATGCTTGGAAAGCACCGTGTCCAGTGAGAAACTGCTCGGAGAAATGGGTCGGTGAGAACCATTGCTGCGCGAGAACCCATTGGATATTGGGAATGAATGCGTATGTGACACGGCTGGTGACGGCGATATAAAGACTATGAGAAAGCCTTTTATTTAAAATAGGATGAACCCAATATTTTCTTTCCCTCATTTGTCTGCGTCTTCTCATTTTTTGGTGGACAGCCCACAAACACACAGCATCTATCACATCCATTCTCGATAACAGTCTGAACAGTCTGAACTAAGTAAATAGTTTTTGACTAGATCATTCCCGTAAAACGCCCGTTTTGTGGCGTGCTAACGCGCGTGTACTCCATGTGAACCTAGCCTTATAATTTATTTGGTTATCAGAGCAATTCTTCTGTTTTTATACGTGGTTATTCAGTGAAATGTTTACTTTTCAATGGTTATTTGGATTTTGTTTTCGTTTATTTTTAGCAAAGTAATGGCTATATTTTCCCAGGAAATCGTCGATGACAGCGACGAGGAGAGTTATATATATCTTAATTGTTCTTTTAATATTCTGTTGAATAGTTATTATTAAATATAGTATTCGTATTGCCGAACTTATTTTATTTTTTTTATAATATAAATATATATAAATATAAATTATGATTTATAATCGAAAATAATTCAAGGAATTTACATCATTGTACCTATTATTAATTCGTTTAATAGTCTATTATTATTTATTACTACAGCTATAAAATTATTGTACGCCTCTATTAGCACGTTTATCACGCTAAAGTTTTCAGTTATTTGTTTTTTATTTCGTATCTAGTGATAGGAATAATCGAATGATCTTAATAATCGAATTATAAGTAATCGAAAACAAAAATAATCTAATCATTCGATTATTTCTATCCGATTATTTCATTCTATTATTTCCATCCGATTATTTCATTCTATTATTTCCATCCGATTATTTCATTCGATTATTTCCATCACTAATCCAAATAATGGTATCAGTATCAGACATATTTATCAAAAGCAAATTAATTAAATTATTCGAAAAAATTGCGTGTTATAAATTTATCAAAAAGTATAAAACTACATAATTGCCAGAAATCATTTAATTTTCATAAATAAAATAACATAAAATACAAAACCCTTGTTGATTTATAAAATAAAATATAAACGTTTATACAATTTTAAATAACAATGCATATAAAGTTAATTCAATAAAATTGAATTGCTATTTATAAAAAATATTATTATCTAAATTATTAGGGTGAAGTCGATTTCGGAGGTCATTTGTCAACTGACCCGTTTTCTAAAATACGCGTTCAGAAGGAACAGAAGTCGCAGGAACACTCAAATATCATCTGGATGACGGTTGGCATGCGACGGCCAATAAGTCGGAGAGGGGCTTAATAAGACTTTGAGGTGTTTTTGAGTTATGAGGTTGTGTAACGCTCGGCCCCTAGTGTTAGTGGAACGGCTCCAAGTTTGGTGTTTGGCATTGAAGTCCGCGCCCAAAATATAGCTATGGCTTAGAGATTGGAGAAAAATTATAAGTTCAGGTGTAAAAAATGAATTTCCAGGAGGGAAATAACAAGATGCTATGGAGATAGGAACCGAGTTTATCTTTAACGTTGTGCTAGCTGATTGAATATTGGAGCTCCTGAGAGGTGACAGAGGGGAGTGTTCAATTTGATTGGAGATTATTAGAGCAGCTCCGCCATGTGCTGTTCTATCAGGGTGATCTGCTCTTATAATTTCATATCCATGAATTTAGTGTAGAGTGTAGAAGATTTCACGAGGTGAGTTTCGGAAATTAGCGCTATTTCAATTTTTTTCTCATAAATCACGATTTGGAGTTCATTTAGGTGTTGAAGAATACCGTTGGCGTTCCATAAAAATATGGTAAGTGGATTTGTTGAATTAGTTGCCATTTTTAATGAGTTTATCTATGACTGTAGTGAGCAATGAGTGGGTTTATTAAAGTTTTTGGATCATTTATGAATGAAGACAGTTAGATTGTNGAGTTATGAGGTTGTGTAACGCTCGGCCCCTAGTGTTAGTGGAACGGCTCCAAGTTTGGTGTTTGGCATTGAAGTCCGCATCCAAAATATAGCTATGGCTTAGAGATTGGAGAAAAATTATAAGTTCAGGTGTAGGAAATACTGCTATGGCTTAGAGATTGGAGAAAAATTATAAGTTCAGGTGTAGGAAATGAATTTCCTGGAGGGAAATAACAAGATGCTATGGAGATAGAAACTGAGTTTATCTTTAACGTTGTGCTAGCTGATTGAATATTAGAGCTCCTGAGAGTTGGCAGAGGGGAGTGTTCAATTTGATTAGAGATTATTAGAGCAGCTCCGCCATGTTCCATCAGGGTGATCTGCTCTTATAATTTCATATCCATGAATTTTGAGTGTAGAAGATTTCATGAGGTGAGTTTCAGAAATAAGTGCTATTTCAATTTTTTTTCATTGAGCGCGATTTGGAGTTCATTTAGGTGTTGAAGAATACATTATTGGCGTTCCATAAAAATATGGTAAGTGGTTTTGTTGAATTAGTTGCCATTTTTAATGAATTTATCAATGACAGTAGTGAGCAGTGATAGGAGTGGGTTTATTAATGTTTTTAAATCATTTATGAATGAAGACAGTTGGATTGTGAGATCTAGATTCTGATTTTGGTTATTGGTTTGAGAGTGTGGATTTGATTCACTATTGAGAGGAGGGAAATTCTGTGAGTCCGTTGGAGGGGGGAGATTATGGTTAATGACATTTGAGGTATGATGGTGTTGGTTTTTATTATTCCACGTATTGTTTTTAGATTGAGTTAATTTTTTTTTTAGGTCAGTATGTGTTTTACACCCTTTATAGTTGGCCGGGTGGCTNCCGTTACATAAAGCACATTTAGCAGGGGAACTACGATCCTTAGTACAATGCAATGATTCATGGTCTAAACCACATCTAACGCAACGAGGAGTGTGATTGCAGTAGCTGCGAGTGTGGCCATACGCCTGACAGCGGTGGCATTGAGGGATATCTCTTTTAGGGTGGGCAGGTTCGATTTTTACTATAATGTAGCACAGCGATGTGATTTTGAAGACATCGGCATGGATTGGACCAGGTTCCAGGTATTCGTTAATTTATGAAAAACAGGCATTATGTTTCTGGTGGTAAATCCACTGTTTAAGAGTTCCTTTTTGATAAGGGACAAATCAGTAGTGGGATGTAGATTCCGGATTACTGCACGAAATGCTTTTAGTTCTTTTGACTGATATGAATGAAATGAAAGTTATTTTCTTTGAGATAACTGATCACTGATCTATACGAATCAGCGCTGTATGTTTGAAGTTTAAGTTTATTGGTAGAACTTTTACAATCAAATCCCGAGGAATCAGTTAATTCTTTAATTTTTATACAGAAATTGTTAAAATTTAACTGTGCTTGTATAAAGATTGGGGGTGGTTTAGGTGTTTGATTTTTATACGGAATGTTTTCATTTGTATCGTCCATCCGCTCCTCTTCGTCATTTGGTGCGATCAGAGTAAAACGGTTCGTAGAAATAAAGATATTTTTGTCGACTTTCTTAGCGGGAGGTGAAATTGCATTAGGAGATCTTGAATTTGTTTGATACGACTGTTTCCCAGATATCAGTATTAGAATTGTTTGGTGAAGTATTGTTTGAAGTACCTTTTTTTTTTTTTTGATAATTTTAATGGTGGAATTGTTTTGTTAGATAATTGATTTGGGCTCGAAGCCATATCGAATGCGAGTATTTCTGTAGCAGTATGTAGCGACTGCAATAGTGGATGGCCTTGAGGCTGCGGCGTTAGTGGACTTTTTACGATAAGATTATAATATTATTATACATTACCGGTTTGCGGAGGCGCTGCGTAATTTGACGTTAGTGCTATCTAGAGCTATACAAAACGGTGCGCGTAAATGACGTGTGGTCTCAACGACGTCCAAACACGAATGAGACAGTGAAGAATATATATAAAGAAGAACTAACGATATAAGTATAGTCCTAAAAAATGACCATTTTTCAATTAGAGTTCTTGACATAAACTTCGTAAACGAATTGAAATTTCCGTTATTTAATTCTATTAAAAATTATAATGAGGTCATTAATTTACTTTTCTTCAAAAGGTCCGTTTTAGTCGTGAATTCTTTATGTATGATAGAAGACAAGTCCTTCTCTTTACTCCACCATCTAGTTGTGCAAATTTTTCGGAGTCTATATAATTTATTATGTCCTGAATGGTTTTTTCCAGTAACAGATTTCCAAACTTCCATTCTTTTAAAAGAATCTGAGAAGAAAACTGCTGTTTATTCTTCTTCCTCAGCTTATCGGCCCATTAAGTGCCATCGCTGCCATCACAACACCTCTCCATTTCTCTCTATCGTATGCGTCATCAAAAGANCGTTTTTTATATCTTGAGCTATAACGTCCATCCATCGGGTCCTTGGTCTTCCTAATGGACGTTTTTTATTTATTTTGTTAACTAACACTTCTTTTATTCTACCAAACCAAAAAGATTTTCAGCTTCAACAATTTGTTTTGTTGAATCTTCCATCGTTAAACTTAATACATGAGCCAAAAAATACGTATACACTATTAATAGATTGGAATTGTTCATATGTGCTTGTAATCCATTATATACACCTTTCATATTAGCTTAGCAGCACCGTCAAAAGAACAACTTATTACATCGGTCAATAAAAAACTTAGGGATTGAAGTGCATTACACAATAAATTATAAAGAGCTAAACCACTGTAGTCACTGCATACAACCAAACTTAATAACTTTTTTCCGATTTTCCCTTATATAAGTATCGAACACAAAGTGCCATTTTTTTACATTCTTTTATTCGATTAATTATAATCGTCTATATTGAAGTTCCTATTCTGTTGATTATATTATCATTCATAAAATGTTTGAATAGAAATGTATGTATTTCCTATTTATTTTATCACCATTGAATAATTTTTTTAAATAAATTCGATCTAAATTCAATTTTCCTACTTCTAAAAATGGCTGAATAGGATGATTTTTCCAAAATTTAAATTTTATATCTGCTGAAATATTTGGTGGTGGTGGTATATAATTTGATAAAGATGGCGTCAAATTGTCATTATAACTACAGTGAACGCCGCTTATAAGACTCACTTTGGGATCAGCACAAAATGAGTCTTATAACCGAATGAATCCGATAGGCCAATTCGTAAAAACAAAATATGTACATATTTATGAATTTTTTTACGGCATATTTTGTTTTATTTTAATTTACTTAAATAGATACATTATTATATATTTTTTATTATTTATTAGAGACTAAACGAAAAAAATATGATGAAAATATTGTATACATATTAATAAAAAATTTTAAATTTACGTACTTATTATTTATGAAAAAAATTTGTAATTTTGGTTTTTTTGTTTGTTCTAATATTCCAGAAATATACTGTTCATACCCATATTGTATATTAAAATTATTACCTCGGCGATGGACAGCTTTCTTTAACATTTATAGAGCCTCTAGAACCTCTTTGTTTGATGGTGGTTTAACCTCTTCCTCATCGTCATCACTTTCGTCATTTTTCTCTTCACTGATGGTCGATTCATTTACGATAGTCTGACAAATTTGATCCTCAGAATACTCTTCAGAAGTTTGTAGATCACTGTCGATATTCATCTAATCCACATATGTTTTGTCAGTGAGGTCTTCCTGCGTCTCAATAGACCTGTCTTCTTCATCTTCTTCCTCTTCATCAGTTTTTACGAAGTCACCGTGACGAAAGCAATTTCGTATAGTCGCATCACATTTATTGTTCCATGCTTCTTTTGCTAAGTGTAAAGCCTCAAGAACGTTAATTTTCTTGGCTAGATCATTAGCCTTTAAAGTTGAAGTTGACTCACATTCAAGTGATTATCCTTTTCCTTATTTTTAATCTATAGTAAGCTTTAAGAGTACGAATTATTCCTTGATCACAAGGCTGAATAAGTGATGTGGTATTAGCCGGTAAAAAAAACAATTTTTTATTCTTCAAATTTAAACTTACATTATGAGCAGTGCAGTTGCCTACCAAAAGCACAATTTTTCTGCTTAGTTTGTTATTCCACTTGATTAATCTTTGGCTAAAGATTTCTTGGGTTATCCATGAATTTTTAATTGCTAAATAAACCACAGTTAAACTTTCTCCGTTAACACCTTTGAAACAACGAGGCTTCTTATTCTTTTCGACAACGAGCAGTTTATTTTTTTCTCCCGTCATACTGACACAACACAGCGTCATTCGTTCTTTACAAGTTTTTGTTTCTTTTGCTTTGTCATATTTAGAACATACGTATGTTTAGGTAGTGCTCTAAAGTATAAACTAGTTTTATCAGCAGTAAACACATCAGAAGGTGAATATTCAGAGATCAGAGATGGCCATTCATTTTCTAGCCAAAAATGTGCGCCGACAAAATCTGCGTCATTTTGTTTTCCATGTGTTTTTTGAATAGAAATATTTTCTCTTTTTTTCTACCGATGGAATCACCCATCTGTTGCTTTAAAATTAACTTTCCTCATTTTTTCTGCCAGTTCATCAGTTTTTTGACGAAGCAATGGGCCTGACAAGCGAGCATCTTTATTTTTAACTTTTACGAACCATTCTTTCAAAGCGCGTTCAATAGTATCATCCTTTCCACACTTTTCCCTTTTTCGACTTTGAGACTCATTTTGTAATGCTTGACATACAATGTCTTCCCTATTTTTAATATTTTTCACAATACTGATTGTGAAATGTTTAGGTTTCTGCTGCTTTACGTCTTAAAGTGGCTGATGTGCTTGGTAGCTCCTAATAGAGGCGCCTCTGATTTCGTCAATGAGAGATAAAAGTTCTATCTTATTAATATTATTACATGCTTCTTTAGCTGCTAAGTCGACTT